ACTTTAGATTCTTTACTTTTCTAGTTGGTCTTGTAGGGCGTGGTGATATACAGTAGGACATGTTAAGGTTCATTATGGCTTGGCAAGGTACAGTAGGGCATGGCAAAGTAAAGCATAGCATGGTAAGGTTCACTAGGACGTAAGGTAGGGTAGGGTAGGGTAGGGTAGGGTAGGGTAGGGTAGAGTAGGTAGGGTAGGGTAGGGTAGGGTAGGGTAGGGTAGGGTAGGGTAGGGTAGGGTAGGGTAGGGTAGGGTAGGGTAGGGTAGGGTAGGGTAGGGTAGGGTCGAGTAGGATGGGGTAGGTTAAGGTAGGGTACAAAAAATGAAAATGTTGCTTGTGGCTAATATTGTATATTTTTTAAAAATTTAGGGGGTGGCATTTGTTAGTTTTACTAAACTCATAACAAGTAACTACTATTTTTTACTATACAGTAATTACGACATACCAACTAACCACAATTTTTTGTAAATAATTGCCAACCGGCTCTTTTCGAATAATCAAATCTTGAACCGCCTTTTTATTTCTCTTCAAATGCCTCAGGGCAAAAAATAGATTTAAACGTTTATTTTGCAAATTATGTTCGAGTATTTGGGTAAACATGTTCCATGTTATGTCTATTGGTTTTTCGATTACGAGTTAAAGTATATTGAGTTAGGGAGCTTAGTTTAGAAGCTGTAGTGTTTTGTACTCTTACTATATAGTATCATGAGAGATTTTGAGAAATAGTATCAATATTGACCTTTGAGTACTATAGGTTTAGTGGTATAGTGCTATATGGCTTTTTGGTACTGTTTGAGTACTATTTGCCTTGAAGCTTGACTTAATAGTAATAGTGGTACTCACAACCATAAATACTCTTAGTACTACTAAAAAACGTTGTTAAACAACAGTACTTCTCTTGAAAGACGTAATGGTACTACTGTTACTACTTTTTTGGGAAAATGTTTTCGTGGTACTAAGGGTACTTTTTGGTACTCTAGCAACATAAACTTTTTTTTTATGTCTTGTCTACCTTACACTAAAAAATTCTATTTATACCTCAAAATTCAAAAAAAAAACTGTAAAATCATAACTGCCACTTACATATAACCCTCATAGTTAATCATACCCTCCAATATCCAAATGACATGTTATCTCTCGACAAACACAAATTAATATATTGACATTGGCGGTTGTAGAATTTTATTTTTGTTATGAAGCCATTCTCCTCTTTCCGCTACACCGCCTCCATTGATCTAATGGTGCACAAGCCTGACATAGCATATTATTTTAGGATATGAGTGCTAACAAAAAGGAAATTAATTTTTGTTTTTTTTTATTGAGGAGGATGTTTTAAGGGCACAAAGACATAATATGTGAAAAGTGGTTGGTAATTTGGATAAAAGTAAGAATTTGAAAAAAGTTTTGTCGTTTCTTTGCGTGAAAGACAATGACGATTGACGACAACTTTTTCTGAATATTTTATACTGACCTTTAAGTATTATATATTGTGGTATAGACCTTTCAGTACTTTTAGGTATCATTAATTTTAAATTTTGTCCTAATGATACTACTAATACTTCTTATTTGATAACATTATCTAGTGATACTAAAGGTATTCTTTGATGTTTTGGATAAATAAAAAATTTCAAACGTCTTTAAAACTTTTAAAAAATTTATTTTTTTCAAAGTAAGTTTTTAATTTTGGAGTCAATTTTAATATAAAAAAGTCTTTCAATGAGCCTCCAGCCAAAAGTTATACGGCTTCTTACCTTTTTATAGTCTTTTACTGCTCAGAACGTGTAAATATTGTTTTCATCTGATAGTTTTTGCTTTTGCGAAGCAAAAGTTTATTAATATGTCTATTTTTATTTTATGAAAAACTTCAATTTTTGTTATTTCTTGCTTCAAAATGACAATTTTTAAAAGTTTTAGCTTTAAATTTGTATGCTTTATTATCGGTAGAAACTTATCATTCTTTTTCTAGTTTTATTAATAAGAAGATCTATTTTGTAATTTATAAATAGCTTATAATCTTGTCTCAGTCATGACTGTTCTTGGAGAAAACTATTTTTAAATTTGGCAAAACATAGTTAGGCGATTACATTCTTTATTAAAGCAGGGTAGTGAAGGGTAAGGTAGCGTAGGGTAGCGTAGTTTTTAGCGTGTAAAGGGCAATTCTTTGTTTTTAATTGCTTGGTTTTTAATATACGTATATTTTCTTTTCCCAAATTTTTAGCAATGCCCTAAAGTGTTTTTTGACCTAGTATGAGTTTAGCTTTTGTATGAGGTCAAACTCCCACACTCTGTCAAAACGTAATTTATTTTGGTTTTTTATTTTTTTTGGGGTTTTTTGCTATTATAGAGGGGCTTTTTAAATACAAATAATTTAAGAAAACATAGAGAAAACGACCAGTAAAGTTTTATAACAGAACTTTTAGCGCACCCTGTACAATAACGGTTAAATTTTTTTTTGATAGCGACTTTAATGTCAATTCTCTAAAGAAATATAGGAGTTTATCTGTTTAAAAATATAAGGGTTTTATCATCTTTAGCAATCAAAATTTAAAAAGTTTTATCATAAAGTACTTTTAAAGCTAATAACTTCATAACAAAGCCACAAACTAACCTTGCCAAAGTTAATTTTAGATTACAAAGTTTATGTAAAAAAATTCGTAGGGAAGTTAATTAAATTCGGTCAGGTGAAAAATGGCACTCGGAGAATTTTACCTTTTTGGGAGCGGCAGTTTAATCGAAAAATTTTGTTTTTTCCGCTTTTTTCGAAATTAAATGGCCAAAAAAGTTTAATTTTCACTTTTGGCATGAGGAATTTGAGTTTTTTAGCTTTATACTCATTTGAGTACTAAGTGCTATTTTAGATATTATGTAGTGTATTGTGGATAGGGTGAGGCAGGGTAGTAGGTAACTTAGTAATACGTAGTACCCTGGTAGGTAGTACAAGGGGTTCTGGTACTATATCGTATCTTGGTACTAAATAGTATCCGGATACCATATATTATTGTAGTACATAGTATTTCTGGTACCATATAGTGTCTTGATACTAAATAGTATTCTGGTACTATGTAGTATCATCGTACTATATAGTATCCTGGTACTATGTATTATATTGGTACTAAATAGCTTCTGGTACTTAATAGTGTATTAGAATCACATAGTATTTACGTACTAAGGAATTTAACATAATTTTCAGTAGACTTTTAAAAAAATTTTGGGGCTCTCCGAGAGAACACACTCACCTTATTATGCACACCCACCACCTATTTCAAGCACCCATTTATTCAAATTTATAAATTTACAAATTCCATTGTAAAATGAGTCCAGAAGCGAAGTACGGTTGTCGTAGCGCAAAATGGGCTCGTCCAAGTAAGATTTCATCAGCTTTTTGGGAGCTTCGTGTGCCATCGAAGAAGTTGGAGTATCATCTATAAGGTCGGTGTGTTATCTATGGGGTTGGTGTGTCACCTATGAGGTTGGTGCGTCATCTATGAGGTTGGTGATCCATCTGAAAGTTGGGTGTGTCAATTAAAAGGTGTCATTTAAGAGGCTGGGGTGTCATCTAAGAGGTGGGGGTGTCATCTATGGGGTGGGGGTGTCATCTAAGAGGTGGGGGTGTCATCTAAGAGGTGGGGGTGTCATCTAAGAGGTGGGGGTGTCATCTAAGAGGTGGGGGTGTCATCTATGAGGTGGGGGTGTCATCTAAGAGGTGGGGGTGTCATCTAAGAGGTGGGGGTGTCATCTAAGAGGTGGGGGTGTTATCTAAGAGGTGGGGGTGTCATCTCAGGGGTTGGTAGGTTGAAACTGGCTGTTGTGGTACACGTTGGACGGACACTAAAAAATTGTTTGAAACGAAAGACTTACCGAGATTACCGATGCTTTTGCATTCCCATTTCGTGCTACGTAACCGATGATCCACAGTAGTCAACTTTTGATAGGTCGGCCTTGACGATCGTCAACTTAAACAGGAGTGAGCTCTCCAAGACGTTTTTCCATATCCGCGCTACCGCACGGGAACAGAGTTAATTTTCAAAATGAAAAGAAATCACAATTGCAAAAAGCAATTTTTAGATTTTGTGGATTATTCAAATTTGGGTGTGTATAATAAGACCGAAATTTGGGTGTGTCAAATAGGTTGGATGGGTGCTTTAAACAAAGAAGCGCCAAAATTTTTATATTTTAAAATTTTTTAAAAAACGTTAAATTTTTAAAAAATTTTTTAATTGTCATATTTCACCCAGATTGGCCATTTTCATGACCTTTCTTACTGAAAAACCATCAAAAAACCTTAAAAACGCATTAGTCATGTTGTTAATCTACTACTACATAAACACTATAAAATTTGTTTGACATCTTAGCCACGAAATTGTTTTCGGAACGTCGGAACATTAGTCCTTGAATCCCTCGTCCATCTTGAGCCACTTGACAGTTTATTGGTGTCTTGGTTGTCAAAACTTGTCTCGGCCTCTCTCAACAATGAAAAATGAAGTTTTTTGGGGCCAAACTTCTGAATCATATGTTAATGTGATTTGTTTTCTTGTACTTTGGGGTTTTTATCATTTTTTATTGTCTTGGCTTTATTTTTAAAATTTTTGAAATTTTTAAAAATTATCAAATTTTGAACTTTATGACCTAAAAGCAGTTTTTGATGATATGGACTCAAATATAACAATTTCACCATCTTTTTTGGTTTATTTACTGCAACGATTGTGGTCAAAATAAGTCTTGTCGTCAATTTACGTGGATTGAAACGTTAAAAAACAACAAAACTTTTTTTTTGTTGTTATAGGTTGTATAAAAAGTAATGAGCTACTATAAGTATTGAAAGTAGTCTTATACTCTCATAAAAAAGTCACAATTAAATGAATTTCCGCGATTCGTATTTTACAAAACCTAACTCCCCTATTCAGCACAACAATTTTACCATGCCCTATAAAATCACCCTCACCCATTCCTAACCTGCTACGTCTACTGTAAATGCCGCCAACCCTATGGTCGTTGTTTGATGCCGGTGCGATTGTTTCCGTCACAGAGCGCCGCCGTCGAGCCTCCGAACCCGCCCGACCCCAATAGTCACCGGCAGGCGTTTGTGTTGCGGCAACAGACCGCGCCCGAGCCCGACCCGTGGGTCGAGTTGCGCGATCTCAACGATCAACGAGCTCCATCGACGAGTCAAGAGACCCAGCCGTTGTTGGGGAAGAAGAAGAGAAGTAGTTTCCCCTTGGGCGATCCCAAGGTTTGGCAGTTGAAAAATCGAAAATTGGACAACGTCTGTCCGCGAAGTGTGTCATGGTCGCTAGCTGAACCCAATCCCAGAGATCCAGTAAAGCAACGACAATCTTTCAACGACGCCGAGAACCTCAACAACAACAACTTTGACAACTTTGAACAATCTTCAACCGAAATCTACCGAAAGCCTACTGGCAGCTACAAACTTGCTACCAAATTTCATCGTCCGCCATCGTTCCGCCTTGGGGCATCGCCAAATCCAAGCTCATTAGCACCGCCAAGAAGTCCGTTTCTAGTGCCAAACGGTGGACCGACAAGACCAACGCTTAGTCCACTTATCAGTCCTGAACCACCGTTGTGGACACCTTCGTCCAGACATCCTAGTGCGGTACCATTTGGACCACCTTTTGCTAGTCCTTTTAGTCTTTTTGGAGGTGGTATTGGAAGACGACATTACTTTGGAGCACCGTATCAGGTTGGTTTGACTTTTTATATTATAGTATTAGAAATATCGTAATTTAAGATACTAGGAGTACCGTAACCCGTACTATCAGATTTTTAATGGCACAAACAAATTTTTAAAATTCGGTTTTTTAAATTTAAATATTAATCCTAAGGTCAACCATAGTTTATATTTACCACCATAACTCATAAAAAAAATTTTAAACCTACCTACAATTAAAAATGGCAAAATATCACCAAATTTAAAAAAATTCAACATTTTTTAAAATTTTCCTTGCTAACTCAAAAAAATGACGTTAAACATAACGCCTTTTGAATGTTTCCAACTGTGCCTGCGGCAATTATTCGACAATTTTTGGCGTTTCGACGCCTTTTAATCCAACTTTTTTGAACTTTCCTACTGTCTTTTGGTGTGAAACGCTACTACTTGGACTATATTTTTATTAGTGTATTTTTTACAGTAGTTTCTGATATATATTTGCCTAGGTTTTGGATTGATTACTGTATTTTCTTCTACGAAAAGTTGGCTTTTTTATTTTTTTGCCTGAAGAAACGGCGAATTTGGGCTGTTTTTGGGGGAAAAACGACCGTTTTGAATTGAAAAACGACTGTTTCTAACGCAAAATTAATTATTATACATTCTAAAACAGTACCAACAGTACCATCTACATTTCGACAATCTACCACTGCAACAATTCCTACTGAATACGTACAGGTTTTGGAACAACATCACTGAAAAGTGACAACAAGAGGGGTTTCGAGTGACTTTCGACCAGCATTTTCCCACATTTGAATTGCACTAAGAGGTTTTTGGTTACACTGGTTTTGTGCTGCAACCGTGTTATTCCGCCTTTCAAACAACGAAGAAGTACTGCCTGGGGCTACGTTTCTACCTGACGGTTTTTTCGACCGGTTTTTTGCTAAAAACACGGAGATTTTTGGGCTGAAAACGCCATAAGTTTTCGTTTTTAGGCATAATTGTTGGTATTAGTACGGTATTGTAGTACTTTATAGCTACTTGGTACTATATTGTACTAGCCCACGATATTGTAATACAATTTTATTTTACTAGGTAGTGCTTAAAGCAGTACTGAACAATTTATATTGTACCAGAGCAACTCTTAATACTATTGAAGTTACTAGTATGTTACAGTACTAAGCCTTCTCAAAATTAAAAATTTTTGGTCGACGGTAAGCCCCGAATCTACCGTAACCCCACTGTTTAGATCAAAAATTTTAATTTCAAGCGAGGAAACTGGACCCCACCAATCCCAACATTCCCAAGGTTCAGCCGATTCAACGTTTCCCCCGCCGACAAAGCGTAGCCCCCTCCATCTATCAGCCCGAATCGGAGCCGCGTTACGCCGACGTCAGACCGTTCGGACGTCGTCGGACCTTGGCTTCGTTAGCTTTGGCTAAATTCAAGACTCGGATCAACTCCAAGTCGGTGGATAGTATCAGCGATCTTCAGAAGAGTCTCGACAGCCTTGACTCGAAAAAGAAAGAGTCGTTGGCGAAACGAGAGAGTGCTGGAGATTGGAGAATTAGAGAAACAGAGAAGCAGGAGGATTTTGTAGACAAGTTCGAAGGTCCGCTACAAAAGGATTTTGAGAAGAGTTTGGGCGAAAAAGACTTTGAAAAGTGTTTGGCTGGCAATACAAGTGAGGCTAGTCAAAGATCAAGTCATTTTGAACAACCGACTGATCGATTAGACCCTTTCTACCAATTAACTAATAAACTAGACCCATTTGAGAAATCGACCGGTAATAAAGAACCATTTGAAAAATTGACTGGTATCAAAAATCCATTCAAAGGCTCTACCAACACTTTAGCTCCAGTTTCATCCCTGAGGCCACGATTTCTACCACATCAACGAAAGTCACTCCAATTTGTAGATGCTCCTATAATCAGAGAACCGCTGCAGTACTCAGCCTACAATTACCCTCAAGAAACACTTCAAACTTTAAATCTACCAGTACTTCAACCAGTTGGTACTACTCCGCACTCTAATCCTACTGTGGTACTACCAAGTCAGTATACCAACCCGGCTTTACCTTTACCAAACACTTACAGTGGCTCTACCGTAGGGCTACAAAATCCAATATTGAAACCTACAGTACCCTCTGAACACCAGAACCCCTACAATCAGCCAAAAACCTCAGAAGCAACTGATAGTACTGTAAAACTACAAAAGGCGGACTCAAAAGAAAAGTCGAAATATCTGACAAAATTCGAACGGCCAGTTTACAACCGATCTATTAGTGGCTACAGTAGTCGACTACCGTATTCTGGGTCGATTACTGCGCGTATTCGACCAGTGAGTCGTATGTGGACGGCCGAAGACGAAAGCGACGGCGAAGGATCACAACCTAGCTTTGATTTGGACAAGAACGATAACGAGGTGGGTTTTTCTATTATTTTTACTTCATTATTGTTGCTCTGCTAAAGTAATGTAGGACAGATTTAGAGAGGTGTGGAGAAGAAAAGGTTTTGTGAAAAGACAAGGGATGTCAAACAGGAAAAACAAATTATAAAAATTAGTTTTTTTAAATTTTTTAAGGCTTACTAAGAAAGTATCAAGCCTGCTCTACTCAGAATCAGCTAGAAGATTGCAGATCCCTAAGTTTTTATCACTAATTTTTATTTATTGCCTTATTGGCAAATTTGGCATTGTGTTTCAAGCACTTTTGTTTGGCTTTCCAGGCAAGATACGCTTACAATTTTATAAAGGTAACTTTATTTAAAAAATTTTTACTAGTATGTCAAAGAAAAATTGTTAAAAGTCAAAAAATGACCAACTTATAAGTTTGAAACACAATGCCATTTGGCGGGAAATTCAAAACGTAATTTTTTGATTTCGAATTTCTCGATATAAATCGCGATTTAGTACTTTGCTGAAGATCTTATATTTTCTTGATCTTTCTATATAAAAAATTTTAAGTCAATCAGAGAGGGGCAGGTCAGGTACTTTTTTTATTAAAAGTTGGTAAAACCTTTTTGATTTTTGAAGAAAATTATCACCTTTCCCCCTATAAATCCTATTGCCTCTGCCTTTTTTTAAGAAAAAAAAGACTTTCTCCATACCTTCTAGCTATAACCATGATAAATAACTAGCTTCTTATAACAGAAAGAGATCTAATCACCGTATTTTACACTCAAACTATATAAAAATTTTATTTTATTTTTAAAAATTTTAAAATATATTTTTATTTTCAAAAAAACTGTTACAAAAACATAAAAATTTAAAAAATTAAACTAATAAAAATTTCCAAATTAAAAAAAAATGATTGTAAAATACGAAACGGCTATGTTTTACATTACATGTAAAATAAAGTGTTACTTGTCTAACGACAGCTACCGGCTCTTTTAAAAAAAGTTGAGAAAGATAGTACCTTTTCTGACATTTTTCGTTTATTTTAGGCACAAAAAACAATTTGTCCCAGTTTTTCGTATTTATGTTTTTCTTGCAAGTTTGTTCTTTTCCCGTTTCGAAGGCGCTGAAGCAAGAGAATGTCATCTTCTTGACTCCTTATATCCTCATTGCTTGACACATCCTCACGAAGAGAAGAATCCCCTCGAGCACTAACCTTTTCGGCTTCTTTAATGTTGTCATTCTTTTTCTGCTTATAACCAATACAATTTCAATGGGGGTGTTGAGGAATGTTGTTTGAGAGAGAGTGATGGGAGGGGTGAATTTTTTGAGAAAAAGTGATGGAAGGGGTGAATTTTTTAAAATTTTTTGGTTTTAAACGTTTATCTTTTAGTGGTGTGCTAGGCTTTTATGGTATTCTATATAGTGTGTAGATTTTTATGATATAGTATATGAGTGTTAAGAAGCTCGGATTTTTTGAGTCCATTATACAAGCGATATACTGTATTTTTTAAAAAATTATGGTTTTTATAAGTTCTGGCGCTACTTTCTACTGATATGTACGTTAAAAAACGGCAAGGCTTTTTTTACACTAAAGTAGATGACATTTGTAGCTGAGCAACTTTTAAAAACTTAAAATAAGCAGCGAATGTTACCTAAACTTAACCAATTTTTAATTTTTTGCACTTTTAAAAAAAGATATTACATTTTAAAATGGATATCTCAGAATTTATTACTTTTACAAGTAGTGTTGACACGTAACAACCTTAATGTCAAAAATTGTTTTTTCAAATTTTTATTTATCTGAGATTTAAATCCTATTGGAAGTAAAATTTTTTTAATTTTTACGTTTTTTTGAAAGTTTTGTAAATACTGGATAAAGTCAGCAAGCAAGCTTATTTATTTTGAGTTACGTATAAGTTATGGCATTAAAGATTAACTGAATTTTAAAAATTTTTGAGTATGTGAGGAATGTGAATTCATTTGTAACTGTAGTACTGAGAATTAGATAAGAAAGAAGCCTACTTGTCTCAGCATACGCTCTTCACTAAGCCTGGCTAAAGCAACTTTGAAAAAAGTTGGGCCGGGCAGAAAAATAGAGTCAGGCTTATTACAGGCCAACTGTCAAGCCAAAAATAGTAATTTTGTTTTATTTTTCATTTTGAGATTTTAAAAAGATATTTTTAAATTTTTAAATATTTTCTTTTTTTAAGCAAAGGCCTTAGTGGATTTCGTATTTTACCAGTAAATATATATTTTTTTAAAAAAATTTTTAAAAAATGCCTTTTCTTTTTCCTTTAAAATTCAAAAAAAGTCAAATTCCGAGTAACGTCCGAAGTAACAAAGAAGATTACTTCCCGAAACGAACGTTCTTTCAGTACAATGTAGGTGGAGGTATGAATGTGTTGATATATAATTATAAAGACGAGGAATTAAGCCATTAAGTGGGATTATTAACTTTATTACATCATGATAAAATCCAAAATGCTTTCGGAAACGGATATTCATGGCTATATTAGTAGTTTTTAAGGGAAACTGGAGTTAATTTGTCAATTTTTTCGAAAATTATGGATGGATCTTAAATTGCGCTTTAGGTTTGAAAATTGTGATTTAGGCTTAAAATTAGACATTAAGTTTAAAAATGTACCTTAGGCTAAAAAATTTTATTTAAGGTTTAAAAATTGGACTTAAGGACTTCAAATTGTGTGTTAGGCTTAAAAATTGTCTTTAGGCTTAAAATTAAGACTAGTTTTTTTTTATTTTTTTTTAATTTAAAGAAAACTTTTAAAAATTTTTATACTTTCAAAAAAAAATAAAAAAAAACTTTGTGACTTTCGAAATGCTCAAAAACTTCCCGATTTGGATGCAAATTCAATAAGTTTTGACAGAAAAATTGAAAAAAAAGTTTGGCCAATTTGCATAATTGATTGGGAATTCGCGGTACTACGCCTGAAGGCGCAAAACGTTAAAACTCTGCTTTTGGTTTGTAACTTGGCTGTTTTTTGGGTTACTTTGATTCGTCATGTTCAAGGATGTTGTTATAGATTTCTTCTAGAGTATTAGACATGGGAAAGGGGCAGGGTCTGAATGTTAGATCCGGACCGGTCTGAGTTTTGCTCAAGCCAGGCCCGGCCAGTTCCCCATGTCTATGGAGAAGGAGTACGGAAGGGGAGGAGGAGAAGTGGGGGGAGGTAAAAGTATATTTTATTGTTTTTCGGGTACCTCTTGCTCTTTAAAAATGGCATAAACTTGAAAAAACTTGTTATATAAAAGAAGGGAAAAACTCTTGTCGTAAATTTGTATGGTATTGCATAGGAAAAAGCGACAAGACTTTCTAATTTTTAGAGCTTTTGGATAGGACCTGCTGGTAAATAAAGTTTGAATAATTAAGTTGAAAAAATTAAAAATTTTTAATGTTAGAAAGTCTTGTCGTCAACTTGTGTGGAATTGCACGTGTAAAAACGACAAGACTTTTTTTCTCAATTTTTTCAGAAATTTTTGTGCAGAGTAGCGTACCACAGTCAATACCTGACCAAAACAATTGTAAAATTCATTTTTTTTAACCCAAAATGTCAAAAATTTAAAAAAGTTTCACAAAAACCCCTCCCAAACCCGTTTCCATTCCAAAACGCCCGTTTGCATTACATTTATGATGCCAACGGTCTTGTTTTGTTTCATTTTATTGCATTGTCCGTCTTTATCGTGGAAAGGCGAAAAAAGTCGAGAAAAAAATTGTGTGCACAAACAATTTCCGGCCGCGCGAAACAGGCGAAGGGTCGTTGAAAGAATGGCACACTCGATAAAGCGCGTATTAAGAAACGTCAACGATATATGATCTGCAAATAGTATGAAATGCGGCCAGATCCCACTTTTTTGTTTTCTTTCAAGCCCTAAGGCGTGGTGTTGCGAAAAAACTTGGGATTTAGGAAACGTATTTGGAAGTTTTAGAATTTTGGGTTGGGCAGGGGTTTTTTGAAAAAAAAATGTTAAAAAAATTAAAATAGACCTAACAAAGGCCCGGGATTTATTTTTTGGTACAGGCTGGGCCTTGGTGTGGGCTTCGGCATTTGGGATTTTGGAATCAAGTGTGCAGTCCTTTTTAAATTTTCTTTGGTTTAGCCCGACCTAGTGGGTCTCCTATCAGATCTATTGGGTGAGCGTAGGTTTGAAAAAAAATAGTAAAAAGTTAAAACTAGTGATATGATTAGCAAGAGGAGTGTGAAAAATGAATGCTTTTTGTGTGTGAGAAAGTACCAGGGCGAGTATATTGATCTTAGGCTAATTTTAAAAAAAATAAAAAATGTTAGAAAAATGAATGTTTTGGTACAATATAGTACATGTTGATTTGGAAGGTTGCATAACACTATATAATACGTTTTGATTTGAAGACGGTTGTTAAAACTTTTAGAAAATACAGATTATTTTACACTGTAAATCTTCGAAACCATTATGATATGACTTTTCAATCTGAAGTTATACATATATATTTTCAGTGCTATACAATACGTACTAAAATTTATTTTTAAAATTTTTTGGAATTTTTAAATTAGGCTTTAAAGGCAAGTTTGGGTTAAAAAAAAGGCTTAAGCGTAACTAATAAGGCATTTTTTACTTCAAAATTTTTTAAAATTTAAAATAATTTTTGATTTTGTAAAAATTAAAGGAGAATGTAAACCTAAAGCGGGCTATTAGACTCCTCCTTGGGTTTATAGATGTATAACTAGCTGAAACTCAAAAATTATGCATAAAATTGATCGTTGTCGTATCCAAACCTTTTGTTTATTAATCGAATTATAGCGGGAGGGTTGATCTTTTAAGCAGGGGAAAGAGTAGCTGATACGTACTTTCATTTTGTTTTGTTGCTGCGTATCTTGCGCTTTTGTGCTGTTGGCTTTGGGGGTAATAACTTTGATTTTTTTTACTTTTTTTTAATTTTGGCTTTTATTTTATTGTAAAATACGTTTTTTTTAAATCAGTAAAAATGGTTTGAAATTTGGCGGCATTTGTGGCATTGTGTTTTAAATGGCTTTTTAGGTAGATAGTGAATTGATTGAACTTTTATTTATAAAAATGTTATTTAGGCTTATTTAAATTCATTTTAGGCTTATAATAGCAAATTTTAGGGTAAAATAGTTTTAATTTATTTCCTAGACTTAATATAGAATTACTGTAGAAGTAACAGTACCATTATAATTTTT